GTCGCCTTTTCATTGACATGCAGTCAAGTCAAGTCAAGAATCTTTATTGTCATTATGCATAGCACAACGAAATTTCTTCCGGCAGCTCTCGGCAAAGACACATTATTTACATAAATAACACAAAAATTGTACAAGTCATTATAAAAATATGAACAGCTAAAAATGAAAATGTATGTACCCCTTCCTTCCCTGTTTGTAAAATACAGTGGAAAAGCCCAACAGACCTGACCGCCTTTGCCCTACAGGTTCATGTTATGGAAAGCTGCAGGTTACGGCTCATTAAATTCCTGTAGTGGAAAAGTGGCTATAGTAACCTGCGTCCACTCAAGCATAAAGAAGCTGAGAAATGTCAGACCTGCATGAAACCAAGGTCAACTGCAGGGTGACAGAGAGAGTTCAGGTAACCACTGTTAACGTCATTACACCAATGGCAAACAAAAGCATTTTCTAGGGACATGCGTTGGTATAAAAGGGGTATTTCTATAGCGTCTTTGGTTACCACGTGAATCAGTAAGGCCTTTAGAAGTAGACCTAACCATTGCTCTAGGGTTCTTATGCATGACTGAATATTGGTGAATAAAGGTGTCCAGTTGCTACGAGGCACTTAGTTGAGCAACCAACACCCATCTTTGAAATTTCATCATAAAGTGTTGGTGGAGGGCTGATAATGCAGTGAGCACATTTAGCAATGCAGCCAAAAAATGATTCATGTAGCTTTAGCTAGGGTAAGATGGATTTACTTGTTATTGTAAGCAGAGAAATTGCGCAAAAGAGGAAACAGGTTGTTTTTTTATACAGCAAAAGCCATAATCATCATACCTTTACAATAACCTGCTGAAATCCTATTTTGCTATCACCCTTTGCAGTCAAAAATCATACTATTTTTGAATGTATTGTTTTTATAATTAAAAGGATGAGAAGCACTTTAGGGAATAGCAGAACTGCTGCTCCTCCCCTCTGCCTCTAGAGTGGTGTGCTGTGTGTGTTTGACAGCTGTTATCATGCTGATACCTGGCAGGGGAATGAACAGATAAAGTGCACCCACTTGTACTGGGAACTGTAGCTAACAAGCCATTGACAGGTTTTGTCAGCAGTGATATTTTTGGCAGAGGCCAACAAAAACAATTCTTTTAAAGCCGATGCTGATTTTGATATTTGAGGGTTTTTAAAAAAAATCCCACACATATGGGTTATTGGGTATAGGCATCAGGTAGATTTTTGACTGTTACTAGCCTTGTCACCAAGTCTATGACTAATTGATCCAGTTATCCACTACTGTATACTTTAATTTATATCTATACAGTGCAAGGCACAGGAAGTCATTTTCCAACTGCTTTATGCCACTATTTAACAACATGATCTTTAATGTGTACTGTAGCATTTATATTATATATTTATATAATATATATAAATGTCATAGACATCTTTCACTGATAAGTGAATCAGGTAGGCATGAAGCTAGAGGGTGAACCGTTTCACAACAATTGTCCTAATAATAGTCACTTTCCTTGATTTCCCTGAGAATACAATAATGTAGACAAATCCTCTGTTTACTACTGCTACTCTAGCATCCATAGTAAACTGACAGTATCTGCTTTTCCCCACATGTGTAAACAAACACTCGAGCACACGCATGCTCATGTACGCTGTAAATAACTAGCAGTGAATGGAACAGAGGAGGGCCACCTGGTTCCTGTGTGTTTCAGAGAGCTTTACTTTTAGGGCGAGCCCTGCTACTTAGTTAAACAAAAGGGCCTCCGTGTTGGTCCTCTAGATAAACACGCTGTCCTGAGAAAACACGGACATGGTTACACTTTAACCTGCACAGGGAGCCCACAGCTACATCCTCCCAGACAGTTTAGGTCAGGCTGGGCTATAGTTCAAACCTGCAGAGAGAATCATGTGCTGCATGTGAAACCATGCTGGCCTGTCAAACAGTGGAGCCTTTGACAGCCATAACCCCCTCCCTTGTCCACAGTACAGTGAGAGCACTGTCTCTCCGGGGCTTGGGTGTCACTCCCCATCTCTGTTGTGCTACCCTGGAGCTGAGCAGCTGGCTTCTAGGCTCTGGGATGTGAAAGCAGCAGCACAGAGGAGGTACAGTCAAAGTTCATCCTAGATTAGCCCAGCAGAGGGGCCAGCAGCATTGCAGGCCAGCCAAGTCCAAGATGTTCAGGCATTTGTAAATAACCCGATAAGTTATTTATAAGCTTGGGGGCGGCTGTGGCTCAGGAGCTAGAGCGGGTCGTTTCCTAACCGGAGGATTAGCGGTTCGATTCCCGGCTTGTCCAGTCAACATGTCGAGGTGTCCTTGAGCAAGACACTGAACCCCCAGTTGCTCCCGGTGATGTCACCGGTGTGTGAGTGCTTGGGAGTGCGAATGGGTGAATGGCCGAATAATGTGTGAAAGCATTTTGAGTGTGCTGTAAAAGCATAGAAAGGCGCTATACAAGTATAAGACCATTTATCAGTTTATTCCATCTCACCCTGGGTAATTCCAGCACTGGCCTGGCCCCCTGGGTCCTGCTAAGGGATGCTTTTGACTTTGGCTGCTCTGCGAAGGCTGTAATGGTGCAGAACACACACATAAGCTCATGCAGAGATAATATGCATAGTTTAATATCTGAATTATATCACTATGACAAAGGTGGATTATGGATTTATATGTTAGTATGTCAATATAATAAATGATATTTGAGCAGCAACTTAGAATATCGATACATTTTCATCTTTAGAAAAATAAGCACAATACCAGAAAGACATACATACCATACAAATTGTGCATTAAAGATACTGTCTGCTATGTTTTTCTTCAGCATCTTTGTGCATATAAAACAAAGGTGCTGATCAGTTACAGTATGTCACTATGCCCATTTATTTGATAAACAAAAGGTTGATTGGATATATATGGAGGCAAAAATCCTGTTTCTTTAGTTATGTTAGGATAATGTACAGTAAGAATGAAGGGGTTAAGTGAAGTAAAAAAGCCTGAACAGTTTTCAACATTTGAAACACTGAATAAAAGATTCTTATCTCCCTTGTAGATAATGAACATAGGCAAGCAATAACTGTTATCTGATGGTGTAGTTATGCAGAGCTGCTACCTCCCCCTGGCCCAGCGGCAGTCGTGTAAACAGACAGCGATCTAGAGGAATGCTGGACTCAGTGACCTCCCGCCCCAAGTGCTGTTACAAGTGCACTGAGTTCAGCTGAAACAGCCTGCCCCGCACTGTGCCTCCCTGAAGCTCCGCCTAGCCCTACCCCAGCATGAGGCCCCTTAGGGTGGAAAAAAAAAACACACCTCTTTCAACCAGCACCATGGCCTCCTCACATATTACACACACACGCAAACATGAACAGACAGACACACAGACAAGTACTCAAGTGCTTCCTTTCTTTCCCACCCCAGCTGTCAGAGCGGCAAGGTCTTGCAGTTTTGACAGTTTCAAGCCAATCTTTGTTTGAAAGCTTCTAACAAGTCAGTGTAATGTTGGCTCTTGCTGAATCATTTCATTTTTTTGTAGGTGAAGATACTATTTTGTGAACTTCAGAATTTCAGCCATCTTTAATAGACTTGTCTCTGGCACCAGGAGTCCCTTCTACTCTTACTCATTAGTTTCTCTGGTTAGTCAATATGCAGCATTTGCTAATGTGTTGATGTGCTGATGTTGAGATTGACTATGGGTGGAAAATAACAATGCATGGATTTTTAATCAGAGGCAAGGTCAGAGTGTTTTCTGAGACATTAAGCTGTCAGTGTTTGAAGCCTTCTGTCAAGCAGACACTGCCCTCTGCTGGAGCGCATACACAGGAGAAAGGGCAGGTCAGCAAGGGTGATTCCCTAAGGTGTGGTTTTGCAAGTTACGTTTTACAAAGTATAGACAAAAAGAGCAGAGGCGAGGCAGAGACATGGAAGTCTAGGGCGAATAGAAATTCAGTCTTCTCAAATAGCTGCATACCAGCTGTAACCTCATTCACATCTCATGAATAAATCAAGTAAATCATCAAGTGGAAGACCTATTTAAAACATAGCATGGTGCTAAGTTGCAGCTGCTTACCTGTCATGGATTATGAATCTTAAGTGGATTTTATCATTGATTGCAGTGAAGGCACAGTAAACCAGACACTGGTGATTATCACTTTGCTTCACCTCATCACATTAAACACAAGGGGCATTGTACATATGTGCGTTGCTTGTGCACACAATTAGATATGTGGATGCACACACACACACGCATGCACGCACGCACACAGACACACAATCACAGTTAGCCGTTGTCTGAGGAAACGAGGAGCTGTCTGGTGCCATAGCAACCAATGCGGATATCCCACCCTTCTAGAGCAAAAGAAAAAAAAACTGAAGTGGCAATGACAGATTGACAAGACCCTAATGAGATCCTTTATACAGAGATGAACAGCGACTGTTTATCTGTCTGTCTGTGTGTCTGTCAGCTTGGCCTTTCTGTTTGTCTGACGAGTTGTCTGCCAGTTTGTCATAGTGAGACTAAACGAGGAAGTAAAAGCATCAAAATGTTGCAATGGCAACATCAGGGAAATTGAGAAAACAAAATGTAAGAAACAATACAAGAGCGTGGGCGAGAAAAGGGGAGAACAAGCTGATGGGGATGAAGAGAAATGAAAGAAGGGAAAAAAAACCCACTTAGAGACTACTCTCTAGGGCATGTCTGTCTGTTATGAGCACACGCTGCCGCAGTCTGCATCAGCCTGCCTTTCACCACCATGACTCCCATTTAAACTGAAATCTCATATACAATGCTATAATTCTGGCCTATATACCAGGTTACATAACACTCCAAGCCAAATCCTGACCTCAATCTGCCAAACAGCTACTCCTGCTCCGATCAGAATGTTAGTCACCATATCAGTGCTCAAGTATAGCAGGTCAGATGTTATAGCATTAGTGTTAGCCAAACTTTGATGACCTGGACAGCTACTTGCTCTACATAAGATCTATTCATCGTTCTTGTTCTTTTCCTTAGGTGGGTGTATGAACTGCTGGTCTGGATGGAAATCACCAATCACGTTCCCACTGGTAAGTTGCGTCTTTACTGGGCCTCACTTACTGGGGTTGGTTGACGTCACACCCGCTGCACAGTACAATATGAGCACCAACATCAAAATCTTCACTCTCTGTTTCACTGTCTGCCAGGTTTGGTGTGATGTGACAAATTGACAGACTGTTGATGGGCACCACACCTTAGTACGACACAATGTGAGAGTCTGTGTGTGTGTCTGTGCATTTTTGCTTTGTCTGTGTGATGCTGGTGCTATATATGTCACTGCATGGCAGAAGAGCTCAAGTAGTGACTCACAGCACTGTGTGACCTGATTTTTTTTTTTTTTTTTTACCACAGTGTCATTGTGAGTCCTGTGTGCAATGTGAGCCAGCTTTACTAATACTGTTGAGCTTTGATGTGCTGCCTGAAGTGAGCTCGGAGCTGTCAGGATCATCAGGAAGTGCTAAGAGAGACTGTGGCTTTGACTGATCTCAAAATGTGGATTATAGTTTAAAATTAACACATTGCTTGTCCTGTTAAGGAGTGGTATGACCTCTAGTTGATGATCATCATAAGGCAAATAGGTTTTCATGTAAGCCCAAATGAACAGCTTTTGATATTTTTTCCGTATAATACTTTATCCTCATATGACCTAGTTTTACCATTTTGTTGCTACTCACAACTCGATTTAACTTGATAAGTGTGTTCACTCTGGGTTAAAACAGCAAAATCAAAACACAGGTGGATTAGTCCTTTCCTACACCTCTACACTCACCCCCCTGTCACTGGAAATATAGAAAGGGTAGTGAAGAGCACCCGGTTACTCCACTGTCCCCCTGCTGGTACTATGTTACCTGAGGTGGCCTCCAGTGCTTCCTCCCCCTCATCTTCAGCAGTACAGCGCCGCCTGATGCACAAACCTGCTTGCTCATTCATCTGCGCCACAGCTTAGGGAGCTGGGTGGTTGGCATGGGTGGAGTGGGGTTGATGCACCAGCCAATAACGCTCCTTATCCACACAGTATTGACGTGATTTAACACTTTCAATCAGCCAATCACAGAGTACTGCAGCAAAGAAAGGAGCAGTAGTAAAAAAAATAGTAACAGTACATACAGTGAATATTAATTTAAAGGGGTCTTCTTTGCTGTGCTTCTGCACATTTCACAACTCAGTGTTTTGTATATGAGGAGATTACAATCTAATAATACTAACAGCACATAATGGAGACCATGTAAAGCTGTGATTAACAGCTGTTATTAGCTATATGATTTCTACTTATTAGATGTGATAACGGTATTCATGGTGAATTGCACATTTTGAATTTGGTACCCACAGATGTTCCATTGTGGCTTCTATACAACATATTAGCCTTATAATGGGCAGCATCTAACCCACCATCTCCTGATCGCACCATTACTCCTGACAACAATAGGCTAATGGGATGGCTGACGCCATTGCCTTAAAATCATGTATTCTTCTGTTCACTGTTAAAGAAGAGGGGACTTTTAGTCTCTTTCTGAATACCAGACCTTTTATCATTCACTTTCTAATTTCTGTCTCTTTTGATTTTCATCTTTGGATTGCCCCTTAATGCACCTTGATCTGAAACAAAACCATACAGTTGTCAGGCATAATAAATATGGATAGCAGCTATTCATTCATTCTAGAGCAGCGTAACAGCTATCAGTGCCTTTTACCGAGGACAGGATGAGTAGAGTTTTGCTGACTTCCTGCTATACAAACCTCCATGTATTTCATTAGAAACACACTCACTACTTCACATAGTGCTTAGTTGTATACTGTAGTGCAGTCCAAACTCTGTCGTTTCCTAAAGAATCAACTCGGGATGCAATTTGTCACTCTGTGTCTGTCAAGTCAGTCACAGTGGAAATAACGTTGTTATCTTACGTGACACAGCGTGGCAGCACTAACAGCTACAGATACATGCTGGACAGCAGTGACCAGCCTGCAGAAGAGCTTGTTACTGTGCATGTCATTGTTTCCTCAGTGCCGTTATTCCTGAAATGAGTGAATGAGGGGACAGCCCTCTCCCTGGGTTTAAGTGGGTGGTGGATGTCTCTAGGTTTTACCTTGTGGTGTAGTTGTTGGTTGTCTGTGAGCAATTTGTCTTTGCTTCATACTGGTTGGTAATAGTGTCAAACAATAACAAAAAAATAACAAAAAACAGATGGATAAAAGTTTGTTTCATTAATGTGATGCATGATATTACATTCTGGATTCAGCATCTGTCTTTCTGTCTGTGGGCAGACAAGCTCATAAATGTAATAACTCATCAACAATACACAGAAAATACTTTATTTTATAGACAATGCAAATGATGCTGGAGCTTTTGTGACTGCCTGAGAAATATGCACATTAATCAGGAAATAAAGAATTACTAAAGCTATTCAGTGTTTTAAGTTATCATTTAAAAAGATATATTTTAGGACCTACTGATATTCCAAAACTTGTAAACAGATGTCCTATAACCTTTGTGGGAAGTTCATTGTTGGTCAAAACAAGCAAACAGTAATTAGTTTTTGATGTGGATGCAGATCACAGAAGTATTTAATGGATTTTTTTAACTTTGAGAAACATGTCTTTTATAAAAATTCCCTGTTGCCTCCTGGCACACGTATTGCACATATATGGCATAGTTGTTATTTCAATTCAGATCCTCAACAATATGCAGATTTAACATTGTATAACATTTCATTTTACTGGTGTAAAACAATAGTTTCACACAGATGTGGCGGAGATGTGTTCCCTCTGAAAGCTTTGAAGGTTTTAATATAAAATGATGGTTATGGTTCACAGCTTAAGTGCCTTATATTCTATTTAAAAAAACAATATCTCAGGCTGTTGGATGTCACATTCATTGGAATGTTTGTTTCAGAGCTGAATCATGTTTTCATTTCCTTTTTCTGTTCAGAACAAAACAAGCCACTTATACACTAAATGATAAATTTCCTTAACTTCTCAACAATCTGTTCAGTGTGCTGGTTGGTTGCAACCCAGGTGAACAAATTTTTGGTTTAGGTTGAATGGAAGCGATCTTAGAGGCTTGTACAGCACTGGATTTATTAAGGAAAGGAAGAGATTTGTCATGTTTAACTGTTTCCAAAGTATTGGCTTCATATTTCACAGTTCTTTGGGCATTCTGCATGAGTTGAAGTATAAGAATTTACAATGGAGCCTTTCCTCCATAATGTCTTAAAATTTATTGAGGCGCAGTGTATGCATAATTAATAAAAATGTTCTGTACTCTCACTTTGCAGTAATGCCATTCTGCTTGTTTTACAAATTTGTTGGTTATAATAACCTTCAGTTTTTGAAAAGTGCTGTACTTTGCAAATGGGTTTGATTCAATAATATTATGTTATTTCATTTTTTCTCTGTTCAAGCTGTTTCTGTGATTGCACCCACACATATGAAATTCTTACTATGTTTTACTGGACTTAACAAGAATTTCTCTGCAACTCGGCTCATGGGGATGTGAAAAAGACAAAGGAGACAACTAGCAACATATTTCAAAAAAGTTCAACTAAACCCTCAGTGGTAAAAGTGGTATAATAATCAGACTGAACTGCCATTACATTTCACTTCACTATTTAATATATTAGGTTGTCATTCATTAATCTTATATTATTCTGAGTTGAAATGAGTTATATATCTTAAATTTAATTTTTTTCAGGCTTTAAATGGTGAATTAAAGTGCATGGCTATTTTCAAAAGGAGTCATTTTATTACATCGATTCATGTGGTAATTTTAATAATGATTCGAATGATTTTTGATGCATTATCTTAAACGCTGCCTGGGTAAGGCTGAGTCTGATGACAGCATCACTGTGTGGGTCAGTGAGTCATGAGGATTTTAGGACTGTGATTGGTAGGTGCAGCTTCTGCTGAAGCTGATTTGAGGAGATATGCTGTTGTCTACCCACTGTCTGTTCCTCCCTCCCAGTCTGACTCACAAAGTAGTGTGTGTGTTTGCTGTTTGGGTGTGCTCGTGCATGTGTGTGTGTCTTTGTGCGCTGGAAAGGCTGATGAGGATGCGGTACGATGTAGACTTGGGTGGATTGTTACTTCATGCTCTCAACACTGTATAAGACTACATCTGTTTATGCCATAGACAGTATAGAAAGGATCCCCAGAAGTGAAGCCACCACAAGTCGATCACCCCTGGTGGCTTGTTGCATGTTAGTGGACGGGACAGGAGCTAAACTAAAAATCTAAAGCACAAATAAAATAAATTCTTCTAAGATAAAATCTGCCTAAAATGACAGAAATCTTATCGCGCTGATTTGTGTACAAGTGGTAATTTTTCTGTCGGTGAGAAATGAAGGGATCAGACACTTCAGTAGCTTATGTGCAACACGTGGTCCTACTTTTAGTGTGAATTCCCAGTCTCAGAATCCTAACTGCACCGCCTGGTGTTTGTTGTGCAGATTGAAGAAATAATGCTTCAACTGAGCTGCGTATGGACGTGGCTAGTTGAGTGTCAGAATAAAGGTACATCTGTCAATGTTTACGTTATGCATTGACGATGACATCAGATTGCCGGCATTTGCTTTATCGATCCATATTGATGGATTGTTACACAACAAATAGTGGCAGGAAGTGGTGACACTGCATCCATTTTTATATACAGTCTATGGTTTACACACTCACACTTCATTCATTCATTCATTTTCTACCGCTTAGTCCCTGAACGGGGTCACGGGGGGGCTGGAGCCAATCCCAGCCGGCAATCGGGCGAAGGTGGGGTACACCCTGGACAGGTCGCCAATCCATCGCAGGGCTAGACACAGAGGAAAATATTCTAGTAAACACTCACACTGTGGGGACAAAATGCTGGTTTAAGGGTACGTGTTAGGGTTAGGCAAGTAGAGGTTATGGTTAAGATTAAGTCTCCAGGAAATTAATGTAAGTCAGTGTAGTGTCCCCTGATGTGATGGAAACACAACATGTGTGTGATTGAGGATGTGATTCAGTCTGGGCTTTTGTGGTGGAGTGACCAGTGTGTTTTGTGTCC